TAATGCTTCTATGTATGAATTATAGTTATTTATGGAGAATTTAAACCTCCTGTCTTTTAAGTAATCCCATATTTCTTTGATTTTATAAGTGATGTAACAATAACCACAAGTATCTAAAACTATCGAAACAGTTTTATCATCAATTGGATGTTCAGACAATACCAGCAAATCCCATAATTGAATAACCTGATAACCATATCCACATCTATTATATGCTTCCATCAATGCATTATAAATTATTAATTCATTTTAAGTAGATTGTGAAAGTTCACCACACCATCATAATCATAAGTTTTACCTAGTCCTTTTATTAGAGCGCTGTAAGTATAAGAATTTGGCTTGACATCAAGTCGTCTCATGTCAACAAAAATTCTTTGAGCCTCGGACATGTGATTAATATTGGCAAAGGAGTCTAGTATAATGTTATAACTTCTTGTATTCAAACCACATTTCGATCTAGCCTCATAGTAGACTTGCAATGATTCTTCAATCCTTTTTGATTTAATTAAATGCTCAATCAATTTTGTGTAAGTTTCAGTGTCTATCGAACTATTCAATTTATTTACCAATATATCAAGAAAATTAAGACTTATAATCTATCCATTAAAGAATAATATAGGTTTGAAATTGATATTTTGTTCTAATAATGCATTATTACAAGGTACTACAACAACTATTAGAAAAAAGTATCAAATTCAAATACAAGGTTTGTTATTTTATACGACTGACACTCGAGCAACAAACCTTACAACTGCAACTAATACAACCATTAACACAGCTAAAACGAATACAACTGAACAACAATTAAATTACTACGAAAATTTTCGAAAGGCTATCAAGGCTGGTAACATTCCAGAAATAATTAAAACATACCAAGAACTATTTGATAGCGAGCAAAAACAAGAATTAAAATTTAAAGATTATAACAAAGCAATCGATTATATAAGTAGGTCAAATTTAGATGAACATTTACCAATTTTGTATAAAATGGTAGAAGATATGAAAACCTTAAACATTCAAACTAAATTATCTATATATATACTTCACTTATGTATGCAAACAAACTTCATA